GTTTTCCTGCTTCTTCCATGTCCTCTTTATTCCCCGATTTGGTTGCTGGGTTGAGATTATATTTCGCATTGCATTGGGGCATTTTCAATGACAAGTGCGCATCCGTCTGCGGCGCATGCGGACGAAAAAGGCTTCTAGGGGAACGGAATGAAGGGAATGGTTGCTTTATTTTATGGCGTTCTGGCCGGCTTGTGGTAGCTCCTAGCGTCATTTGGATTTCTATCGCGTTCTATGGATCCCACTCCAATTAACGAGAATATGCATTTTCACGGGTTCGCGTCTATTGAACGATCTTACTTGAAACGGCTACATGGCGGCTTATACAATTGACTTGGGATAAATCTCATTTTCATTATACTGCTGCCTATAATAATACTCAAGCAGTAAAAAGGTAAAGGAAATGATGCCGTCTACCGTGAATATGGCAGGTTAGACATATTAGAATTCTCCTTCTAGGAAGAATGCCATCCCACAACGGCCTTGTCTACATCCGACCTGTATTCTTGTTGCTTATAGCATTGCTCCAGGAAAACCTTATACTTAACCTCGAGCAGCTTCTTTTCGTGCTCATCTTTGGTCGGGTAAACCGCCTTACCGGGCTTGCTCATTCGGTCCATGATATCCCATAGGCCTTCAGTCTTTCCATCTTTATCAGCGCTGGCGGCCTTGACTCCGAGCATGGCGGCACCATGGCAGACGGCAGCGTGGACGTAGCGTGGGACAAAAACCGGCATTGAGCAGGCCGATGCTATGAGGCCCATTAAAATATCATTCTGGCATTGAGAGCCAGACATAAATATCGAGGTAATATTGTGGCCAGCCTTGTTCATTGTCTCCACGATCTGGCGTGTCTGCAGTGCAATAGATTCCAGAGTGCCATAATAGTATAGGCACAGTCCATTGACAGATTTATCGCTGGACAGGCCAATGACCGCACCGGACATTTGCGGGTCGGCAATTGGGGATCTATTTCCAAACAGGTCACCGTAGAGGAAGAAGTGACGGCCAAGGTAGGATATGGAGGGAGCCTTGGATTCGGCTGCCATTTCTCTTAGACGTTCATTCAGATAATCGTAGATGTTAGAGTTGTAGGACTCCGCAACCGAGAGAGCTTCATTGAACGCTGGGTGGGTTTCGATAACGTGTTTAAGCAGCTCGCCAGTGGCCGACTGCCCGCCTTCTGCCATCCAGAAACCCGGCATTATGGTATCACGGTAGGGACCCCAGACACCAGGAACAAAGACCGGGTTAGGGGACATGGCCAAATGGCAAGTGGAGGTACCAGCCACGGCAGCCAGGCGAGTGAAAGCCTGGGTTCTGTCGTTGTTAGCAGCATCAGAGCTCAACAGATCAGAGTCCAAGTCGACTTTGGCGCCAACAGTCCCAATCCACCCTGCGTATGCATCGATTACACCGCTACCGACTGCAATGCCAGCAGGAAGGCCAAGTTCAGCAGCAGCGGATTCACAAAGTCCACCAACAAGCTCACCAGCACTCAAATATTCTCCGTTCTGTTACCCCTGCGTTAGCCACTCATTTTCGGCAGGAATATGCTTGGTGAGTTCAGTCATACCTCTCCGTTAACGCCACCCATCCTCTTGAAGTTATCGGCAGCAAGATCCTCCAAGCCAATCGCATTTAAAAAGTCAGGTTGCCATCCCTTGATGCTTCCATCAACGCCGACAGGGACATATCCCTGTTTGCAGACTACACTGCAGAAGCTTCTCTTTTCGTTGCCAGTGGCCAAATGAGTGAGTGCGTCTGCCAGGTCATAGAACTTGCATCTATCAAACAGCTCCTTTGGCATGTTATTTTTGAGCCAGAGGGCCTTTGGAATCTCCATCTCGATGGACATTTTGCCTCCGACATACCGGAGCAAGTTGTGGCCGGTAGCATTGATCTTCTCGGTCTCTTCCACGGGGCGATGATCGAGCCAGAGGATAACGTTGCGTTCGGTATCGAAGTTGGGCCCGGTGACAGAGATAGGTTCGCCGGTATCGTGAGCGAAGACAGCTAGTGAGCAGGTCGCATCAAACCCGATGCCTTTGATGGAGAGGGGGTTGATGTTGTGCTGGCTGATAACTCGCTGGACACACATGCAGATGCATCTCCAGATATCAGCAGTCGATTGCTCCTAGTGGACATCAGTCTCAAGGATACCAGGTATAGGTATGATGGGCAAAGCATAAGGTGACAACGGGCGAGAAAGACTACTTACATAGTAGCCTTGCTGGGGCTGCCAGAGACCGATATTTTCGGATGCCAACCCAACGATATCGCCTTTATCGTTGATGATGCAAGCTCTAGCACTACCGGTGCCAACATCGACGCCGATGAAGTGATCCATCAACGGGTTGATCTCGTTCCTGGGATCCATGGTGGCCTGTCTCGAGACCTGCTGGGACGGTTGAAAGGAGCTCATGGTGAAGGGTGTAGGTGCAGGTATAAATACGCAGCAACTCTGGTTATCTGGCACAGACTCCTCCCCACGCCGTTTGCCTTGGGTGTCTGTCCTACGAGCGAGGTGCGTGGAAGTGGGTGTGTGTTCCTGGCGGGCCGGCCGGCGGCTTCGCAAAAAGACTATACCCGGGCGCTATTTGGGTCGTTATCCAGGCCAGAAAAAAGAGGCAATTCCTGTTTCACAGACAAAGAATGCAGCCTTGAAACCGGCGAGCACGACTAAGCTGGAGCTGCTGTTAGTTCGCCGGATTATTTGAGCCGTTTTTGCGTGAAAGCTTGACGGTGAATATGGGGCCTTGCCTATCTTCTCAAATATTGGCTATTCCGGCCTCTCTTTTTTCACCTCCTTTTAGGCTCCCTAACTGAAATCTCGGGCCTGATGTCTTTTATATAACTGTCATCTGCACGGCCCGTCGAGGTGTTGCTCCGTCGCGGTGAGCTGCGGTAGAGCTGCCTGGTAGACAGAACCCCCCACTGCTACTTACTACCAGTAAAACCGGCTCAACGCTTAACTGAACCCACCAGCCCACAGCAAACGCCAGGATCTGGCCGGTAGTGATCCTCGCCATCCCGCGCCCTCGTTCTCCACTGCGTACGCATTGTCCTTCCTGTCCATCGTCTGCTCATCGTGCATCGGCCGGTCGTTCGTCTTTTTGCTTTGTTGTCGGCCTGCCATCTCTCCGTCGACTCCATCGCCGGTCCACAGATAAGAAGGGAAGAGGGCGACAGCGAGGCAACGGTCGACTTGTTCCTGTGCCATTGGTACTCCCAGCGCTGTCGATCTTCCTCCCGCCAGCAAGTTTCAGCTCGATCTTCGTCCTCCGTCCTTTGCTTCTTCTTGTTCTTCTTCTTCTGCTTCTTCTTCGTCCTCGTCGTTGTCGTCGTCGTTTTTGCTGACGTTGAAAAAAGGTGCGTAGCTGTAGAATCACGTGATATCACCAACTTTCATCAACGTCAACGTCAACAAAAGACGGCAAAAACGAGGTAGAAGACGAAGAAGACGCAAGAAGAGGACAAAGAGAGACAAAGGAAGGAAGCGGAGGAAAAAAGAGGAGACACAATGAGGCTGCTGTCTGTCCTGCTCGCCGCGACCAGCGTGGCCTCTGCTGTGGCCATGCTCCAGGCACAGCTCTTCTACCAACCGGTCACGGCATCCTCGAAACCAGTCGAGCTCGCGCAGATAAGCTACGACCCGGCTACGCTGCGGTCCAAGGTTATATCTTACTCTCCTCCAGAGCCCTCTGGCCCTGACGCAGCCGGCGATCTGGTCCGCATCGGCACATCGCCCCAGTCGAGGAGCTGGGCCGGCGTCCTGGCCTCCCACGCCCTCCTCCACCCGTCTCCCTCGAGTAACTATCCGCCGCCCACTTTCTCCCTCTACCTTGATCCCGAGGATCGTGTATATCATGTTGGAGTCTCGGCTTCGTCACCGTTGACATCCACGGGCGGCGCAGGCAGTCATCTGAACCAGGCCGGGAAGCCGTTGCAGATGAAGGTGCAGCTTATCCGCTCCCAACCTGCTGCTGTCCCGCAGTTGAACAAGCCCATTGCCAGAAGGGCAGACGACGCAGATGACGAGCAGGTGGAGGTTCCCTTGATGAACTCGCTGCTCCAGAAGTGAGATTGCTCTCCTTGGCCCTTACACATACCATAAACAAGGCGGTTGATTGCTAACTGTTCAGCAGGTACTGGTGGCTTCTGCCGATTGTCTTTCTGCTAGCTGTGGGTGGCGGCGGGTCTTGATTCTACGCAGTGTATAATATGGAAAATGGCGTTGTCATTGAAAGTATATAGTATAAGGGTATACACAAGATGATATTACCTGGTCTACGCATCCAAATCCATCTCTTCCCCGTCATCATCTTCATCCTCGTCTTCGGCTTCCATATCATCATCATGCATGTCTTCATCTTCATCCTCGTCCTCATCCTCCGCCTCACTCTCATCGCCAACAACATTGCCGTAGGACAAAGGTCTCTTGCTTAGTTCATCTGCCACAACATCTTCCTCCGCTTTTATCACCCCCTTTAGCCTCAGGGCAGACCTATTCGAACCAAGTTGCCAAACCATCAGACCCTTGTCAGTCAGCAGGGTAAGTTCGTTCTCGCCGTTGGTAAACTTTAGTCCAAAACAAACAGCGTCCAAGTCAAGTATTATGGGCTTCAGTTCAACAATATCCTTCCACCCGTCTTCTGTCTTTTCGTAGTCCTCCTCTCCGGTAGATCGAGGAACAGTACTTGCTCTTGCACACGCGCCGGGGTCTCCAGGATAATACATGGAAGGGGGATAGTATCCCTCCCTGTTTCGCATGAGCACATGGTACGGTTCGAGCGGCCAGACGTACAAGGTCTTCCAGTTTACAATCGCAAGCCGAGTACCCCGGGGCGAGGAAGCTATGAGCCCCGTCAAGTTGGATTCGTTGGGTTTGAATCCCCAGAGCTTGGCAACTGTTACCCAGCGTTCAATGCGCCTACCACGGTCCAGATTAAGGATATGGGTACATCGGTCCGATCTGCACTGCGCTGTTGACCGGAGGATATACGCACCTACCCGGCCATTCGGAGGCAGGCGTGTAAAACCGACTGATGCATAGTACCAGTCACAAACTCCGTTTGCGAAGTTCCTTATGTGGTACCCATAAAAGGGGATCCCTACCTGAAATCGTGAAGATATAGGTGGCGATGTTCCGTCGTATTCGGGTCTTCTAGCATAGCAGATGTTGTCGAGGAGACGGCCCCGATGTGCAGAGCCAGAGCCAGAAGTATCTGCAGAGCTAAGAATGCGTTGGAATTGGTCGTATATGATGGACGACGAATGCCAGTATATAACCTGCTGGTGGCGGTCATTAAAGCGAACTTGCACAATCGGATCAGGTAGATGCATCGTTGAATCCGAGAAATGCCGTCGGCGTGCTATTTCATCGCCATCTACTAAGGTAGTCGTGTTGTATTCCACATCTACAGTGAATAATCAATCCCGTCAGCCTATCAAGGACATCTAGAGGTAGAAAGTGGTACTAATCCGAGGACCCAAACCTACATGAACAGCCGTCCTTTCGAACCACAACGTCAGACTCATCATATTTGTGCAGACAAACTTTGGTGACCCGTGGTGACTCCTTGTGCTGCCACGATACCACAACACACTCCTGGTCTACGACATCAATTGCGAGAGGGGTGTATATTTCTTCCAGCTCAGTGGGGAACACAGTGAACACCGTCGGCCTCCATCCGCCTTTGGGGGAGTCGATGGAATAGTGAACCAATCGGATGCGAGCAGAGTAATACGGCATCATTGTGTCCTCAACAAATGGGTGCATGGAGGGCGAGTCTGCTGGGTTCGCCGGAGGTTTGTAGCGCTGGAGCACTGATATGACGTTTGGGTACGAGCGGCTGTTGACAACGCGTAGTATCTCAATCTCACCCGGGACATCACTGGGGGACTCTAGCTTGCCTGCGGATAACATTGTTTCCTCCGGCCGTAGGCTTGGGTGACCCACCAAATACAGGTATACGGATGCACTGCCCCTTGGAACCAAAGCGAGTGATGGATGAGCGAAGTATTGCGGCTCCTCGTGGGGGGTTGGAAAGAAGGAAGAAGCCTTGGTATCTATCACGCCCTCTTCCATCGTGTATAGTGTGGTATCAGAGTGGAAATTGGCCCCGTATAAATGAGTAGCTGCCCTTGACATGAGCTCCTGGTACAGCTGTGCAGTTGACAGCCCTTCCAAGGGGATGCCATCCTCGGTTTCCAATGGGCCAGGCAGCTTGAACAGTTGATGGCGTAGGACCTCGCGGCATGTCTTAGCAATTGCAAGCAGCGTCGAGCAAGTACGGATAAGCTGGAGAAAGCTGGGCGTCGAGCAGCACTTGAGCACTAGCTGGAGGAGTTCCACCGGCAGGTCCAGCAGGCTATTGATCTTTGCCATCGTCGCTAGCAGAGTTAGTTACAGAGCTCCAGGCTACAGCGAGACGCGGTATGGGTCAATAAGATAATAGCAATAATATGTTAATAGCGACGATGGTGAACGAAGTCAGCATCTGGAGCTGTTGGGAGTGTTTTTTGGTTGTTGTTGTTGTATTTATAGTCGCTGCGGGCTGAGAATATTTAACTCGATGCTTGGCGTTGATTCTTTTTAAGGTTGAGGCTCTGTTAGGCAGCAACAGCATCGGCTTTTTTATGATCTAGCAAAAACTCACGGCTAAGGATGTATTTTGTACGAAAAGCGTACGGAGTATAAGAATATATATAGAACGCAAGTGAGAACGCAAAGCACGCCGGTCTACAACTCCAACGCCAGTTTATGTAACCTCCAATTTCTGAAATACGTTAGAACGATCACCGCGGAGGCAAAAGTATTCGATACAAAGAATCCCCCAGTAGTCAATATGGGGGACCCGAAAGGGAGTAGAAGAAACACTCGTATCTCTCGCTCGTGTCTTTCTTTTTAAGTATGAGATGCCCACCATTCTAGGATGGACTCGTAGCAGAGGACAAACTGACGTAAACTCTGGACCATGCTTAACCTCTGGGATCGAAAATCTTCAACCGTCGAGGCCACAAGGTCGGTTGTGTCCTCGTATACCCAGCTTGGCTCTGTCCTTTCGGAGCTCTGGGACGCCTTCCTCTGACGCTTGAGCATGTCTATCACACTGTCAACGGTACAGAAGGTTCCTGTCCTACCACAGCCCGCGCTGCAGTGAACAATCACCCTGCGTTGACCTTCTGGGTCTGGATTGTCCTGATGATTCGGAGAGGAACGGCCGGTCGACCCGCTCACGACAGCGTCACATTCCTCAATCAGGCGTAAGAGATGGTATGGTTTGGCTGGAGTGCCGAAATCGGGCCAGTCCGAGTACTGGATCTGGGTGATCTCTCTCGGGGGTTCGAAGGGCTCCTTGGAGTTGGTCATGCTGAAGTGGCGGATAATGAAATAACCGGTCTCTGATGGCTCACATTGCCGCCGGTCAAGGGGGATGGCGCCCTCACTGACGAGCTGGACACGTAGATTGCCGTAGTCGGCAGACCTCCAGTATGGGTGGCATTTGACCTGCGCTCCATCCGTCTCGGCTGTTAGCATGACGATAAGCCGTACATCCTGTTCCCATACCACCCGCCAAAAGTCCTAAACAGACGTTAGTAAATGGAAGCTACAAAGAAAGCATATGGAAAGAAGTGGAAGGAGGGATGCGTACGTTGAATGTAGCAGGCATAGGGGCCTGGGTGGCTATGTAGCGTTTGTGGGAGCGCGAAGATCGGATAAAGCTGGCATTGATGTAGTCACAGCTGCTTTCGGTGGTGTCTAATAACTTGACACGGCAGTGGTCGTAAGGATAAATGTTGTTGTATCTGTTTTTGGACCCCTTTTCGATGCCGGCAATTCTGTATGAACGTTTGCCGGGGGTTTGTCCCTCTATGTTGTTGGTAGATGTCCCAGGAGCAGAGAGGGCCTGCTGCATACGGCTCTGTTCACCCTTTTCGATGTTGAGGAACCGGACTGCAGCTGTCTTTCCGGCATCTTCAGCATTGGCAATGTGGGAGAGCCAGGCTGGCAAGGAGAGTCTGGTGGCCTCGTCCATTGTAGGGGGCAGGGTGACGGGAAGCTGGCCAACGCCACCGATAAGGTCAACGTTTTGGCGGATGTTGGAGAAGAAGGGATTGACGGGGTTTGACGAAGGCGTGGGCATGACGCAACCACCGGCGATTGATGGGGCGGTCGGGAGGGTAAGGCTGATAGATAGATTATTCTTCGCACGGCCAGCAGCTGTGGAAGAGGATGAATTGGGAGAAGTGCACGCGGCCACGGCAGCTGATGATGAAGAGGAGGAGGAGGAGGCAGAGGGCGCGGGCAGAGAACTCTCGATCCAGTCGGGGAACTGGGTTGAGAAGCGGCTAAAGCCGCCAGCCAGGACGAGGGACTCGCCCTTCCAGCCTTCTCTGGAGAACTTCTGGAGCAAGCTGACCAGCAAGGCAGCATCCTTTGGCAGACTGGTAGAGGAGTCGTAGACTATGATACGGGTGCTTGACCGCCACCGGTTGAAGTTGGACTTGTCCTGCCCGGTACCAAAGGTCTCCTCGACTTTCTGCAGGTTGAACGAGGGCCGTTTGAGGAGGGTTGTGGGTATGCAGAGGTTGAGAGAGCCCTTGATATGGGCCTTTGTGAACTGAAGCAAGGGCCGCACGTCGAGCAGGAGGGTCTCGCTCTGGGACGAGCGTAGTATTTCCAGACACCGCTCGGCCGTGACCATCTTGGCATCACCGAGATCATGGCTGACGGGAATCGAGTGTGTTCTGTGTAGGGATATGGCCGACGGCTTCTGATGGCCCGCGGGCGACAGAATCCTGTTGATTTGGGCGGCCGCTGGAGTCGAGGTAAGATGATGGCTGCCGAATCTGGCACCACCGGCCACGACACCGACACCGCCGGCGGCGGTGGAGGAGGAGGCGACCAGCGGCGTCGAGGCACTGGAGGAAAACGGCGAGGGCTCCTCGAGCAGCGGGTGGAAGGACGACTTGGAGGGTCCCTTTTGCGGCAGTTTCGGGGTGAAGGAGTGTTGCTGGTGTATCAGCGGCGAGCTCGCGGCCGGCTCCCGCTCGGCAGTAGTCCTGCCACTGAACCGCCGCTCGAGCAGGCTATCTGTGCTCTTCCGCGAGGGGACAACAAGCTTGGGAGCTGCCGTGCCTGTTGATGGTCCTGATCCTGTTCCCGGTCCCGGTCCTGCACCGGTGCTGGCGGGGATGCCAAAGCTGAACTCCCTGTCTCGGGATGCCGACGGGTGAAAGAAGGGCACGGCATCGCTGGAGGGGGCGGCCGTCGTGTTTGCAACGAGGTCGAAGTAGCCTCCCGTGGACGATTCCTCCACGCATCGAGGCGAGAAGGGCCCGCTGCCGAAGAACGAGGCGGTTATCTGGCCGGCCGAGGGGGGCGTAGAGGGAGGCAGGCCAGCTGGGGTGGTCGACATGCAGCCCCAGGCCGGCGACGGGCGGGAGGTCGCTGTAGTCGTAGACATGCCTTTTTTTTTTTGTTCCTTCGTTTCTTCGTTTCGATGAGAGAACGAGGGGGGTATCGCAGGGCTTCTCTTCTGGTGAGCTGCTCTCTTCAGGGTTATAGCTGGGTCGTGGTGGTGGTTGGGATGGCTGGAGACGAGCTGCTCGCCATCATCCAGACGCTGTTCTATTGACCTGCTGGCAGGGCGGCTGCAGAGGCCATCGTCAGTCAGTCTCGTCCGCAACGCATGTCTCTCGCGCAAGCAGTATCCGGGTCTCTATGTACGGGGTGGCAAGGGAGTGGCCGGCGGTGCGATGGGATGTTGTTGTTTTCTTATATATATATATACAGGAGAGAAAAGGCCAGGCCGGCGGAGGATGACGTTATTATAGGGAGCGGTCGCCACCAGAAAAAACGCAACCAGAGCAAACCACAGGAACAGGAGAGAAGCGAGAGGGAAGAAGAAGAAGAGAAGAAGCGAAGAAGCGTAGAAGAAGAAGAAGAAGAACAAGGCTCAGGCGGAAGACGGGTTGAGGGTTCAGGAACAGGCGAGCGAGACAAAGGGGCGGTACGTACGGGGAGGATGGCGCTTAGCGGACAGCGACGGCGAGGTCAAGCCGGCCAGACAGAGAGAGACAAGAGAGAGATACGAGACAGAGATACGAGACAGAGAGCGAGTGAGAGACGAGACGATGCTGTCACTGACAATGTCGTCCAGTCGTTGGGTCGTGAGTCGTTGCAGTCCAGCGAAGAGGCAGACGTAGGCAGTAAAAACGCACAAGGGATGAAGACGAGAGCGAGACGAGAACGAGACGAGAAGAACGTCGGCGACCGGTCCGTTGGTGGACGCAGGCGAACCGTGGTTGAGCGCCAGGCGAAGGCGAAAGTCTCGATCCACGGTTGGCCGGTTGACGTAAGAGGGTGATATGATGGATGATGATGCGAAGGGGGAGAAGACGAAGACGCAGAAGAGAAGAAGAAGAGAAGAAGAAGCAAAGAGAGATCGAATTCTATCCGTGGCTGCAGCCAGCCAGCCAGCCAGCAGAGGGATTGGATTATATATGTACACAGCGCTCCTATCTTACAGCTCGAGGCGAGGACATCGTCATACGTCTGTCCTCGAAGACGTCCTCGCCTCGCCGTGATGTCTTCTCCTCCTCCACTCCATTTATAATATTTATCAGCTTCCGCTCGCTTTTCGTCTCGGTCTCAGTGGGCTTAGTCAGGCCCTTGGCTGACGTCAAGAGAGCGCGAGACAGCGACGGCGAGGTCGACCGGCGAGGTCCTACCGGCGACGGTCAACGGGTGTGCGTTTCGAAGGGGCGGCCGTCGCCTGGGGGGGAACCAGGTCAGAGCAAGACCGTTTCTCCTTATTATTCCTTAGGTGCTGTTTAAGACAGACGACTCCCGGCCAGGCGGTGGCTCTTCTGACGTCGTCGTCGTCGTCGTCGTCGTCGTTGACAGCTGGCTAGTCAGCTAGGCAATACGCCCGTCCGGCTCGCCCTTGAAGCGCTGCACCCGCTTCTGCTCCCAGTTGTCCAGGTCCTTGGCCATCAGTTTCTAACCCCCCGCCCCGTCAGCCAGGATTCACACAAGCAGTAGAGAAGGTAGAGAAGGTAGAGTAGCATACGTAGTACTCCTCGCGCTCGTCGCCCAGGATGCGTCGCCGCGGGTTCCGGCGCACCTGGCTGGCGTCCTCGTCCGCGCCGCGCAGCCCCAGGGCCATCGCCTCCTCCTTGCCCAGCTGCTGCACCCGCCGGTCATGTCGTTCGTAGCGCAGCGCCGTCGCCGGGGTCAGGAAGAATGAGCCCGCCACCATCACGCTCACAAACGGGAGCCCGAAGAGCAAGAAGGGGTGTCGAGACAGGTTGGCCCGGTACCGCGCTCCCAGGCGCTCGCCCAGCGACGAGGCGGCCGTCGTCGAAGGTCGGAACTTCTTCGACTGGAAGGGAGGCATCCCGTCGCTCTCTCTGGTCCTTTTGCCGCTTCTTTTGTCGCTACTTTTGCCGCTTCTTTTGTCGCTACTTTTGCCGCCCTCCGTCGTCTCCGTCGTCGTCTCGCGGTCTGCTTGGAAGTTCGGTCGTTTTTGTCGTTTTTGATAGCAAAAGAAAAAAAGAGTCGAAAAGGACGTTGATATGCTGACTCAGCGAGGATTGCAAGAGAGAAAAAAGAGGATAACAGTTATATTAGTTATACAGGAGCTAAGCAGCGCTTCACAGCCACGGATTCAACTCTGGTTGTCGCTCACTGTCGCTCGTAACAGGTAAATTACTTTGACCAGGGAGGGAATGGGCGCTGGACCATGTTTGCGCCATCTTGGCCAATAATGATACCTATCTGATGATAACACATTCGATACAGCTAACTGTGGTGCATTTGGCTAGAGTTGATATTCAAAATCAAGTAGTTATTTGTCATGCACACGAGTAACTGCTTTGTACAGAGTGGAGAAGTTATTGAGACAGGGATGTTCGATACGTTCATTGCAGTATTGGGGGCCAAAGTCCGCATGGAAATAATTCTACACCAATAAGAGACTCTTCACACGTCAAGGTCAATTGTTGGTATACCCGCCACCCCTCTCGAAAACTGCAACTTCATGGTATCATGTCAATCCCTGTTGCCTAGATTTAGTGGTTGGGAAATCTCCTGAACATAGGCGCCTTGGTGGACCTCCAACTCTAGTCTGCCTTTTCCGTACTGAGTGCTGGGGATCTCACTAAATATAAACAGTAAAGTGTTATATTTAGTATCTCAATTCAGCGAGCATGGATTTATTCAATGCATCGAATCATTTATCTTGGGGTATAAAAGGGACGCCAAATCCTGTATATCTTCGGCCCCTCAAACCCAAGCCAGGCCTTCAACGATTCCAGCACGCGCATAATTATCTATAGAAGTTTACCCATCAATAGCACCCAGCTACAGTCATGAATTCTATTCGCAGTTTCTCGTCGACTGCTAGCCGAAAGCTTCTCCAGCTCTTAGGCAAGGTCACCCTCGAAGACGTTGAGAGGGTCAATGGTGCGGATGGTAGACACTGGGTTTCGTCTGTGGGTGTCGCACGAGACGCAGTGGAGATTCAGGTAAGCTGCAAGAGAGGAGTTACCAGCGAGGTCCTTCTTGAACCCTAAGGCTTATTCGTTTACAGTATCCGATTGTTACAGACTACCAGATCCAGTATGTTATAATTGCCAGTTATAAAAAAAAAAAAAGGAAAGAAAGAAAGAAAGAAAAAAATTAACTGATGTCTGTGCTGCTCGGCTAGGGGCGCGAAAGCCCACAAGTCATCTCGTGACCCATCAGACCCTATGGACGTTCTTACCCTTGGTTTTTACAGCAAGAACGGTACACGTATCCTCAGCGGTCATGTTCACCTAGACGGAACATTCAAGCTCGCTGAAAGCCGTGCTGGGAAAGGGATGAAGGGCAAATGAAGTAGTGCCAATTATGTGAACAAGCAAAGGAGGAAAGGTGGAGAATATGATCAAAGTAATGAGGTGGCAGGTTTTGTAATTGCATTAGTCAGATATTAGTCAGATATTACAAGACTAATTGAACTTAACTCAGCCTCAGTTGGTGTTCTGTTGAACTCCGTTTTAAGCGATTACTAAAGGAGCTTTAAAACGCGAAGGACTGCTGGAAGGATGGGTATGTTTACCCAGCCGAGCTATTGATGTCTCTTCAGCCATGGCATTTTTTGCACGACGAGCTTTGAACTCGTCTTATTACGCCCGGCCGGTAACACGTACACCACTGGTCGGCCCTTCGATAAGAATGCGCTCTCTCTGGAGCGGCCTCTGGAAGTCGAAGCCGGCCCCAAAGCTGCCTGAGCAACCAAGATCTCTCCCTGCCAGCGGCTTCCAGACTGTCGATGCTGCTCAGCTGGTGGAAGAAGAAGAACTGCCAGACTACAAAGCCGATAGGTTCTACCCTGTTCATCTGGGGGAAGTCTTCCAAGGGCGTTATCAAGTGCTGGGGAAACTCGGGTTTGGCTCCTCCTCGACCGTCTGGCTGGCTCGAGACCTCAAGTAACTATCTACATGCATATATACGGCTCCTCCTGTTATATCTATACCGGGCAGCTAACAAGGAGACAGGGACCATCTGTATGTCATGCTGAAGGTGTATGTGCATACCTCTGCCATTCATCGCGAGATACCCGTATACCACCACATCTCGCCGCATATCGAGACAGCCACAGCCCATCGTGGGCGCCTCAACATCCGGCAGCTACTCGACTCCTTCACGGTGGCCGGACCAGACGGCAGACATCTCGTTCTTGTCCACCAGGCCGCCCAGATGAGCCTGCGCGACATGAAACTGGTCTTCTTCCCCAACGGGTTTGATCCGGCGTTCGTCAGAGGTGCCATCATCGAGCTTCTCCAGGCCCTGGATTTCTTACACAGCCATGCGCAAGTTGTTCATACGGGTACAGAGTGGACTTCTCTATTCTCGTCTGTGTGGATAAAAATTGCTTACGTATTATTTTCTTGTTTTCTTGTATATATAGATGTGCACTCTGGAAACATGCTTCTAGGGCTATGGGACAATACATTGCTTAAAAATCTCGAAGATGCAGAACTAAGGGCTCCCGTGGCCCGGAAGCCGGTTTCGGACTCCCGGACGATCTATCTATCGCGTCTGTCCAAGCCAAAGGAGGGCCCCATGCTCCTATCCGACTTTGGCGAGGCGAGGCTAGGCCCTGGGCCCCATCCCGGTGATATCATGCCACTCGAGTACCGGGCCCCCGAAACACTACTCTACGTGACATGGAGTTATCCCGTCGACATATGGAGTGTTGGACTCACGGTACGTCATATTCAACGCCATATTTTGCCCCAAACTAACACTTAAAACTGCACAAGGCCTGGGACCTCCTAGGGCTTGAAAGACCGTTTACAGCCAGAGACGTGGATGGCGGCGTATACGATGCCACGCATTTCGCCCAGCTGATTGCAGCACTTGGCCCGCCGCCCCCCGAGTTCCTAGCCAAAAACCCAGAAAGAAGAGCCGACTTTTGGGATGAAAACGGTAGATTATTTTATTCTTAACTATTCAACTGAAATATTTCTCTCCAATATGGGAGCCGCTAACGTCGGTCTTCTAGGCGAATGGCTGGGTCTTGCGGATATTCCAGAGGGCCGGACCCTGGAATCGCTCGAGACTCGCCTCGAGACCAGGGACAAGAACGCATTCCTGCGATTCGTCCGTAAAGCCCTGACTTGGATGCCAGAGCAAAGAGCCACCGCGAAGGAGCTTCTCCAGGATCCGTGGCTGCTGGGAAGCCACAAAGTCGGTTCATAGCAAGGGACTGTGAGACAGTAAAGCGATAATATTATCATCAGCTCCTCTGCAGGATTTCCCTTCTTCGTTCCCATCGCAAGTAGAGCTACCCGAAAGCGCATTTCTCCGGGTTAGAGGAGGCAAGACAAATAGTTATCGCGTCGCGGCACTAACTATATATTACAGTTCATATAGAATATAGTGTATGGATTATTGTGAATGTAACATCCTAAGTCAACACGAATTCAATATCCAGTCTTCCACTGCCTTTAACACGGAGGCTTTGTCGCTCCTTGATGACTCCTTTGATAGTAGTGAATCATCATCGGATTCATCAAAAGCCACCCAGTCGTGGTTACGTATTCCTTGCTCGCGTGCCGAGAATTCATTATTTCGGAGCCAGATAAAAATATTTCGTGTAGCATGTTGTGACGCTGATTCGTTCTCTAGATTTAGAGCTTCATAGCTAATTGGTATATTTATTGGTAGGTCCTCCGTTAGTGTAAAGGTAGACATAGTAGTTGTTAGGCATATTGGATGTACCCGTTTGCTGTCTCGACAGGCCCAATACCAATCTGCATACTGCAGTTCGTGACCAGTACATTGTGTGTGCAGGCGCACCTCAATTTCGGCATCTTCGAGCACTGTGGTACCAAAGGGCATCCATGGAACTAGCGGCCACCCACGGTTTAGTTCTGCTTGGCTGAGATAGAGAAGTCGGCACTCATCTGATCTTGAAAGCGCTCCGTTGGTGATTAGCGGTTGCGATACAGGCGCCTGTATAAACGATTGTGTGACACTACACCATGATGCAGCATGGGGTTCAATTGACGTTATACCGTATCGACCTTCTCGGAGGATATTTTTCTGAGTACCCGTGATTATACCACCGAGCCAAAGGAAAGAAACCTGCGGGACTCGATTCATTAGAATATAACCAAGTAAATGGCTCCCCTCGACAGAGTCAAGAACAGCAAATGTAGCCTGCGTCCATGGGCTTACGATATTGCAAGGTATCCCAGGTTCGTAAAATACACTCGATAAAAGAGAGAGCAGTCCTCGTGTGTTGCAACTCAATGTCAATAACCTGTCCAACTCTGGCATTATCTGATCCAATATAAAGCCACATTGCTTCGGCTCTTTAGTCTCCGGCATGGCTGATCGAGGGCTCGGCTTCTCATGAAAAAATGGCCTTGGGAGTGATACTGGGTTTTTCTTGCTATTTAGCATAGGGAGAAATAAAACTGACGAGAGCGCGGCCACAGCTTGGTCAACAATATTGTGTAGATTGCAGTATTCCGCAAGAAACCGAGCCGCAGTAGTAAACGAAGGCACAGGAGTCGGTACACGATAGAGAGGGGTATAGCAGGAAAGGGTATACTGCTCGACTGCCTCTAAAGAAGTCGACCAAGGGGATCGAACTATTGCACCCTCCCATGTAAGGGAGGCCTGCCATCCCTCTCCAGGAGACAAGACAGCAGCCCACCATCTGGCTGCATCATCATCGACGTCTCCTACGTCTACGATGACTTTGGTCCGCTCATCTCCCGTGTTGAGGCCTCCATATTCCGCGTGTTTTTCAGTATATGTCATCTCGGCTCCGGGTATAAACTCGACCCAACGCATAGAGAATATGTAACTCCACGCCAATATAAGTACGGAAAGGTGATTGTCTCCGTGATTAAACCATTTCTGATATGTTGGTTCTTGGTCCTGAGAGAGAGTAAGCTGTGTTGGATTGTCGATAGAGACTGCGAGCGTAAGTCCCCTTTCCACACGAGGTAACTTACATTGGCCGCGCGAAGTTTCCCAGATCGACGTGCCACACGCGTAGAGACGATTATATTGACACTTCAGCTCCAAGTCATGGATCAATGGGGGTGTATTTTGAAGTGCGGGCTGTATGTGGAAGCAGATCTTGGGCAGCCCAGGCTCCAGCTGAGCGCGAGAGAGAAGCCTTGTCCAGGTACGAAAGCCGTTTTCATACACAGCGCGGCAGCTTTCTGGACTTGGACGTACGGAATCTTCAGATTCCATCATGAAAGGTAATGCTAGAGAGAGTGAGCAGGAAGTGTGAGCGTGCTTGAGATGAGGGAGTCCTCTGATGTATCTCGTATGCTCAATCCTCAAGAGTTAACTAGTTAAGTCTGACTCGATAATTGTGCTTGGTGAGAAGGTAACTAACTGGTTAACCTGACTTGATGAATCGCAACCAAGCTGTACAACATGGTTGCAAATACCTTAACGACTCCGTACTGACCATTGCACGATATCCCTACTACTGTCCCTTTCAATTCAGCATCATGACCATGTACAACCACAAGTAGTAGATACGAAGCCATTATCATTTATTGCGTCTACGTCTATTCTCGCCTCTCCCGGCATTCATCATTCAATCTTGGACGCCGCAACTTCTTCCTTGTTGGTATTGCATGCTTCCTCTGGCTTCCCTGACTTCGCAACCTTTGTCATCGCCTTTCGCTTCGCCTTTATTGCAATCTCCTCCTCCTTGGCCCTTTTCGTCTCGTCGCTGCCATACATCTTTCGCCATTCATCTGCCCTTTCCGGCTTGATACGAGTGAACAGGTGCTCGGCCCTACCAATCTCATGACCAGGCTTGATAGAATCTGCATTCCAGCGGTCTGGGATGAGAAGTAGATTAGCGCGGAGCTGTGTGTTGATAGAATTAGCTGTGTCCGGCATGTATGGGGCAACAAGAGACGCAAGAAGGTGAACAGTATTGATGGCTATGCCAATAACTGCCGCACATTTAGACGGTTCGTTTTCAGCAAGGCTGTTATCTAGCCTATTCAGCTGCAAAAACCCATTACCCTGCTGAGATATCTGGAGAACCGTCGACCAAGCTGAGCGAATCTTGACGGCATCAAGCTCTCGGATATATTGAGCGAGAAGCCTGTTGATCTCTTCCTTAAAAGTAGCAAAGGAGCCTTCGAGGTACTGGGTCCAGTTCGGCACGATATTGTTGTAGTGACGTGAGTTAACAAATTTTAGAACACGGCTAACGAAGTTGCCCAAGTTTTTGAGGAGTAAGTTATTATTGCAGTTAATAAATGCGTCCCAGGTAAACTCGCTATCACCAGTCTCCGGGCGGTGGGAGAGCAAGAAGCAGCGCCAGATATCAGCAGGGATCCCAGTCTTCTGGGCTGAGTCTCCAAAGACCCCAATACCACGAGACTTGGAAAATTTCCCGCCCTCGTAAGTCAGGTAGTCTGTCGTAGACAGGTGATGGAGTCTTGTCCAGGTATCCTCCGTGCCAATTTGCGAGGCAGGAAATATCACAGAGTGGAAGACAACATTATCTTTGCCGATGAACTGATATAGCTGAACGTCTTTAGGGCTACGCCACCATCTCTCCCACTGGTCAGTATAGCGAGCAGTAATAGATACGTATCCAATACAAGCATCAAACCATGAATATATGACCTTGTCTTCATAGCCCGGCAATGGAACTCTTGTTCCCCAGCTAATATCTCTTGTAATGCTGCGTGGCTTCAGTCCTTCTTTGAGCCAAGATGCAGTGATAACAGCGCCATTATTCGACCACGAACCGTTCGCAGTAGAGTCCTGGAAGAAATTTTCGACCTTGGCCTGCAACTTATCTAACTCCAAGAAAATGTGCTTCGTGTCCCTAGTAACAGGCGTAGAGCCGTCAATTTTGCATCGCGGATTTCTGAGCTGCAGAGACTCCAAGAGCTGGCCACAGAGATCGCACTGGTCGCCGCGGGCATTAGCATAGCCGCAGTCAGGGCACTCGCCCTCCACAAAGCGATCTGCAAGAAATGAATGATGCTCCTCGCAGTATAGCTGGGTAGTCATGCGCTCCTCCAAGAACCCATTCTTCTCCAGCTTCAAGAAGATGTCCAGCGTAATCTCGGTCTGGAGTTGCGTTGTGGTGCGGCCGAAGATATCAAAGCTGATATTGAACCACTCATATATCTCAGCATGAATCGCGTGGTATTTGTCGCAGAGTTCTTGTGGCGTGCAATTCTCTGCCAGGGCCTTTGCCTCCGTTGTGGTGCCGTACTCACCCGTCCCTAGAGAGAGTTGATAGTCAGGGGCTGCAGTCTGAACCAGAGGATAATTTCATAGACTGCCTGCTTACCACCGACATATAGAGTGTTGATACCGCGTCCTCTACAGTACCTCGCGAATGCATCCCCAGAAAGGACACACCCGATTATATTTCCAAGGTGCGGGACATTGTTCACAAACGGTAGAGCGCTGGTAATAAGGATATTCCGCTGGCCAGGCACGGGAAGAACGGTGCCACCAGCCATAATGATGGGAACAGCCTCGAGCCCGTCTATGGTGCTTTAGGAGACCTGCCAAAGACCAACGATGTCTTTTGAGGGCAGTGGGAAGTTGTTGGAATAGTGAAGCCGTCGATGTCGCTAGCTGGCCTCCCTTGGGTCTTTGTTCTCCCTAGCCGGGCGTTTGCAAGTGCGGTGTCACCTAGCCATCAAACATGCTGCATAAACTCCGGCACCCCCCGGCCTTCGTCTCCTTGTCTCTTTGTCTCTCTGTCTCCTCGTCTTTCTCTTCCTGCAAGTAGCAGTTCCAAGTGCGATGGCAACATAAAGAGACGCTTGCGAGCGTGTGCAGTGCAAGCAACGCAAGTGCCAGCACTCGGAGCCAACAACCTGCCTGCGACACCACGAGGGCCTCCTGCTGCAGCACAAAATCGAGATCGAGTTCCACCCTCTCCATCCGTCAAAAACGCACGCTCGACGCCCCAGTGAATACAGTCGAGCAGACAACGGAGCTTCAGAGATGGCATTGCTGTTGGTAAGCTGGCGGACTTTATCCATCACAGCACAACCTTGGCTTCACTAACCCGTCTCTCGACACACTAATGACGTTCGAGCGTGGTAGCATGGAGCAGTTAATGGCTCTGGACAGGACGATAGAGAAAGATACACAGCATCATTCTTTGCACTACATGACGGTCTTGACAATGCACGTCTATCTCGCAAAGTACTGTCTCTTGCAGCACTATCACTGGTCCTCACCACCTCGGAGGAACAGCCGGATATACAACGTGATGCTGCTGTTTCCCATGCTCTACGCGGATATAAGACGGAGAATGATGCAGACCACCGAGTTCCTGGTATGAGTGATGGACGACCCGAGACTCAATGGGCTGCATCTCCTGCTGCATCTCATGAATCAGTTACTTTTCAATGCGATGGGCTGCGATGCAAGGTGCATGCGTCTTTGAGTAGGTCATCTCGCGGTAATTCATCGACTCCTCTGCCCATCAGATGTCCAGGCCTCTTGCTAACGGCTTCTCTATCTCGGGCAACAAGCAAACGAAAGGGGTATCTATCTGCTTGTGAAGGCTGCTCATTGTCGAGGATTCATCTCCTGAACATCCTCTTGGACCATGGTTGTGACTTTGACTGTGAAAAACTCCCACCTCAGCAACACGCCACCCAAGGGGCATCCAAATCTGATCCGATGCTCGAACAACGCTGGCTCTCGACTTCTCCCTCCCATCGTCGACTGTCTGTCTGCTGTCTGTCTACTACTGCTGTCGACTTCATCCTCCGCCCGCCCGGCATCTCGAGTTTCATCTTCGTCAGCTTAGAGTGGCGAGCCAAGCTTTTTTCCCTTGCCGAGCCGTAGTCTTGGCACTGCGGCTGTAAGAGCCAAGCCGACTTCCAAGCTTGTTTCTTTTCGTCGCAGTTTTTGCTTGATCGCTTGCTTCGTTATTATTGATTACTCGTGTTATCGTGTGCTGTAATCGCTTGTCTTTCCATCCTTCGGCTCAGCCATCGCCAGCTATTGACCAGGTACCCTTTACGAGTGATGGGCGAAGCCGCTAGCTACTACAACCCCGGCGCTGGCACCGGTCAGCCGCCAGGGGATGCCAACTACCAGCATCAGCCCCAGCCCCAGCACCAGCACCAGCAGCACCAGCAGCAGCAGTATGTGCCTCAGGACGCTGCATATGGCGAGCTAAACGAGAAGCAGACATTTGAGCAGGCCTTCAAGGTCGAGAAGCCCAAGTGGAACGATCTATGGGCTGGTATTCTGGTACGCAATCCCCCACGACTGATGATAATGGCTGGATGATGCAAATCGCTACTTGCAGTCGGCTAACCAACTTGCTCTTCCTAGTTCCTCCTCTTCTGCGGTGGCTTCGTCGCTGTGTCGGCCATCGCGCTTCGTGGATATGCAACAACGAGAGATATCCAAGGCGGAGGCATCTATAGCGGGACAAATAACTTCACCCTCAATACTGGAACGCTCATCCTCTTCCTCTTCGTTCTGGTCGTCGCCGTCGTGCTCGGATACAGCTATGTCTGGCTCGCGCGCCTCTTCCCCAAGCAGTTCATCTGGGTGACAGGCATCCTTAACATCTGCTGGGCTATCGGCACCGCTATCTTCTACCTGTATCGCCGCTACTGGACTGCCGGTATTGTCTTCCTGATCTTCGGCATCTTTCTCGCTTTCTGCTTCTGGACCTGGATCAGCCGCATCCCCTTCTCCGCCCTCATGCTCAGGACCGCCGTCGATGTCAGCAAGAAGTATGGCCATGTCTACCTCGTCAGTCTGGTGGGAGGGCTGATAGCCACCGCCCTGGGTGCCTATTATTCTATTACCCTGGTCGCTATCCACGACAGGTTCCAGCCTGCCAGCAATAACCGTGCCTGTAACGGTGGCAGCTGCAGCCATGCCAAAGTCATCGGGCTCATCGCCTTTGTTACCTTTGCAATGTACTGGATCTCCGAGTGGCTCAAAAACACGATCCACACCACCATCGCAGGCGTCTACGGCTCCTGGTACTTCTTCCCACACAGTTTGCCCAGAGGTGCCACTCGCGGCGCCAGCCAGAGAGCCTTGACTACCAGCTTCGGTTCCATCTGCTTTGGCAGCTTGATTCTCGCCATTATACAGTTCCTGAGACATCTCTGCTCCATTGCCAGGAACCAGTCCATGCAGGAAGGTGGAATTGGGGAAGCCATTGGTTACGCCGTCTTCTGTATCCTAGGTTGTCTCATCGGGCTCTTGGAGTGGCTTGCGCAGTTCTTCAACCGCTATGCCTTCTGCCACATCGCTCTGTATGGCAAGGCCTACATCCCCGCGGCCAAAGATACCTGGAAGATGATCAAGGACCGTGGCTTCGACGCCCTAATCAATGACTGCCTGATCGGGCCCGTCCTATCCTTCGGTGCACTCTTCATCGCGTATGCGTGTGCTCTCCTTGCATACTTATATCTGCTCTTCACCAATCCCGCTTATAACACTGACGGGAAATACACACCCTTTATTGTTGCCTTCTCTTTCCTCATCGGATTCCAGATTGCAAATGTCTTCACGACCCCATTATCCAGTGGAATCGACACCATCTTCGTCGCAGCTGGCTGGAACCCGCAGGTCATGTACCACGAGCATCCAGAGCTATACAACGAGATGGTCCAAGTCTACCCGCGGGTGCAGCAGATGATCAGGCCCTGAGCCGCTAAACATCATCAAAACGTCTCTCGGCCAATATTAATGCTAGATTCATCTCAGAATACGCGATGCTGGGGAAGTGGTTTGGTTAATATGATGGTATTATTACAATGTTGATCGAAGACTATCGCCAGCTATTTATTTTAAGTTTTAACATCTTTCTAGTATAGTAACTGGTTATTTTTACCTTCATTATCTACTCTAATATTTAGTCTACTATTCTGCAACTCCCCGTTCTAACAATAATATATATAACTCATGGATAACAAGGAGTTGTTGAGTATTTTTGGGTATACTAATACTTCTGAAATTACCGTTGAAGACCGTGAGTTATGCTTATTATCATCTACTTATAGCTAATTCATATCCGTACTGATTACTTTCAAAATCTAGTTTTATACACCACTTATCTCAACATCGGCGTCGACGGCCTTTAAGCTCTTGAGCATTACAACTTTTAAAGCAAGACTTGGGGCCAAGTCCACCATTTGAGGTCCGCGGTCCCGGTCCACGGTACCATTTGAGGTCCACGGTCCACAGTCCACGGTCCGCGGTCCACGGCACCACTATTATTTTTAAAATAGATATTTATATAGCTTAATGGAGGCCTGCCGACGGCAAAATATATATTAATCGGCTCCAAATTGTCTGTAGAATATATCTAGGCTAGTGCCGAAACGATTCGGAGCACTTTTAAAAATAGTACCAAAAAATGGTACCATAAGGTCCATGGTACCATCTGAGGTCCGCGGTCCACGGTCCGCGGTCCCATTAACGGTACCATTTGAGGTCTTTTTAAAATGCATATTTATATAGCTTAATCGAGGCCGAGCGACGGCGAGGTATATATCAATCAGCTCCAAATTATACGTAGAATATATCTAAGCTAGTCCCGGATCGATTTAGAGCACTTTTAAAAATGGTACCAAAATGGTACCATTTAAGGTCCACGGTCCACGGTCCACGGTCCACGGTCCCATTAACGGTACCATCAACGGTACCATTTGAGCTCTGCGGTCCACGGTCCGCGGTCCACGCAGCAGCACGCTGGCCCGCGAGCAGCCGATAGTGAATATATATCGCCAATCAGGTGACTTTTGGCATTCTAACGCCAAGCAGAACCGACACATTACTCAGCAATCACGTGACACCACATCAAAAGTCGACACAACTTCCAAAAACGGACGAAACGACAACGAAGGAAGGCAGATAGAGGGTTCAGAAAGTGGCCAAATGGTCTGCAGAGGCCTTATTTACCCACCGACGGCCATTATTCGCGAATGAGAGCCTGGCAACTCGTCAGTGCCATGCAGAATGAAGCGTAATAGTGGTCACCGGTCCCCAGCTATGGTGTCAATTTCTTAGAGGCTGTCGAAGTCGGCAAGCCACAGGACAGAAGGAGTGCCATTGCCATATTAATAGTTATTGACATGGTTGGGTTAGGCAATTCCTTCAGCCTCCGCGACATCTCGAGTCTTCCTTCATACAAAAATCCCGCCTTTGAACCTTTGGCAGCCGTGGTATCAACGTATCAAACTGCTGAGCCATAAGGTGAGCAGCCCGGTAGAGCTCTCTGCAAATTTGGACCTATTAATAGTTAATGTTGTACTCCTCGGAATCTGCAAGTACTTCCCAGAAACTAATGATTTCCTGCCATGCTTCATTGATCTGATGTACAGGTGAGAATTCATAAGCCATGCCTGAGAGTGAAGGCATAAGTCGTGTGAAGTGACTGTCGACGGTAAAGAGAAAAGAAGCGTTGCTGACGTGATGAAAGCCCACGACGGCCCTAAAAGGTTTTATTTTGACGACATTCACCAACTAGCTAACCATCAGTTACCCCCAATGAATAGAGTCCTCGCGATCTCATTCCAGCCACCAAGGATGTGCCCAAATAACAAGCTGCTGAACACTCCTCCTTTATTTAATAGACGGGTTCCGAGGGCCGATGGCTGATAGCTATCGAAGACTAACTGGCTAGTTAGCTGACATCTTAACTAGTCGATCCCCCTAACTAACGACTCCATAGACCGCGGGAAAAAGAGCCGCAGAAAAGCCATATCCGCAGCAAAGCAAAATATTCGAACGAGGAGCTCGTTCTAAGGCGTTCCAGGGCTTCAAAAACGACCAAGGCCTTAAACTCCATTCAGACATTGATTGCACCGCTATAACGGGAAACTCGATCTCTGCACGCAATATCGTATTTCTCGGGGGAAAGAGGGGCGACATGCCAATCAGCGCCACCGGAATCCGAGGAGCTTCACATCTTCGTATAACTACGGCGACGTGAGAGTCACTAGAGGCTGAAACTGGCCTAAAATTCAGTCTTCACCCTTCTTACCCCTGGACGGTCATCATCATCTGTCTCGCCCTGTGGTTGATGTTGACTCTTGTATACGAAGCAGCTCGTATAACTACCCTGTTGAAGTAACACTTGACTGGTTGAGCCGCAGTCAGACTTGGGCATCCATCCACTTTCGAGGCGTTTGGCGCAGTGCTTATTCTCACTTTTATATCCCACACTTGCATCTCTCGTGGCAATCAGGGGGAGACAGGATATTTTCCATCTCTCTGGCTGGTGCTACGTGCCTTTGACTCAGGGGAAAAAGCGACGATTATCGCGCAGGGCCCAGCGGTTGGGGTGGCTATCTGCTAGTTAAGCCAGAGTTACCCAAATTCTGACCCGTCCATGCATAAAGAACAAAAGTGATAGACCCTGGTCGGTTTACTTATGAATCTTGATTGTCGAGATGTAATTGGCTCATCACACGCAACCCGGGAGAAATAAAATGTTACCCTTTATCTGAGCCCCGTATAAACGGCGTGATGGGTGTGGTGCGAGAAATTAAGCCGCTATATATAGATATATATAGGGGAAAGGGAGGGGAGAGTCCCCCCTTTTCAGTTCTTCTGAGTGTGTTCCCCTCCTGTGTCACAATTTCCTGCGTCTTTTCGACTCTATACCAGCAGTCTATGGTCATTATTACTGCTTCAAGGAGATACCGTGCAAAATGGTACACCTAGGGGAACTCACAGTCGGGTCGGTTTCCGGCATGATCGCCGCGGCCATCTTCTTCGGTGGGCTTCACTCTTTGGCAACTCATTTTTCAGGAGATTCGTCAGGTCAAGACTAATAATAATGGATTAATCAGTCCAGATTGCTGTAC